GGGTCCCATTCAAATTAGAAATTCCGGATGAATACCGTCTTCGCCAGGAGACTATTTGCACTTGAGCTCTTTTATCGCAGGATTAAGTTTGCAAGGTCTGAACGGTTCAGTAAATACATTATTTGTTGTTGACTTGTCTTCCTTAATTTCACCAAACTGTCTTACTTGTATCTTGTGTCATCCTTAATTTCACCAAACTGTCTTACTTGTATCTTTATCTCTTGAAGAGTCACTGACAAAAGGGTTTTTCTTTTGCTTGTGGGAATAGAACCTAATGTAGTTAGCTATTTCGGTGTCGGCGGTAAGCAATTTGGAGTTCGGTGTCGGTGGTAAGCAATTTGCTGTTTAAGCGTAACTGTTTCGTTGTCGGTGGTAAGCAATTTGCTGTTTAAGCGCTTTGGAGTCGGTGGTAAGCAATTTGCTGTTTAAGCATATTTGGAGTCGGTGGTAAGCTGTTTGTTTTTAAAACTTATTGGTTGGTGGTAAGCAGTTTGTTTTTTAAACGTATCGGTTCTTTCTTGGGTCTTTCTCTGTTGTTTAGGAGGTTACCCAGGAATTTGAAAGTGCGTTGGCTATCACTTTGACAGTTGATATTTGAGATGATCTTGTCGAAGGAAGTCCGTTTGGCTTGTAAGATGGCTTGCCTTAGGACAGCTGATTGTCGTCTCCAGGCTTGTACGTCTTCCGTTCTTCCAGTCTGATCAACAGTGTTGCGAAAGGTAAATTATATAAATGACCATGAATCAGTTGCCCCAATTAACTAAAAGCGCATGTTCCGAAGGGCGGATGTACTCGAAGCTCACAATCTGAGATGAAGTAAACGGTGGAAATGAGTAATGCAGTCACGCGATCATGAAATTCACATGAAATAGTCAGCCAGTAGATGTATAACATTAAAACCTTCATGTGATCTCTAAATACATTGAAAAAAGTCCGAAGGAGTATAAAAGGTAAGTCAATAATGAAGAGGAGTTAAAAATGCTCGAAAAGGGTAATGATGAAATGATATCGAGCAGAAGGTCAAAAAATAGAAAATCGGATGTAAATATGGACTTAATAACACGCGGTAAGAAGCCAGAAGACCTTCCAGCCACACTCGATTGGAAGCCAGAATACAATCAACATTTGGGAGAAGGTCAGCCAGCAGTGGACGTAAACCGTCCAGACACGCTCGATTGGAAACCAGAATATAATCAACATTGGGGACAAGGTCAGCCAGCAGGGGATGTACACCGTCCAGACACACCCGATTGGAAGCCAGAATACAATCAACATTGGGGACAAGGTCAGCCAGCAGGGGATGTACGCCGTCCAGACACACTCGATTGGAAACCAGAATACAATCAACATTGGGAAGGCAGGCCGCCAATGAAAGATGAATACCGTCCAGGTAGACCAGGGTGGAGGCCAGAATACGACCAACATTGGGAAGGCAGGCCGCCAATGAAAGATGAATACCGTCCAGATAAACCAGAGAAGAAGCCAGAACAAAATGATGAATTGGATAAGAAAACTTCTGAAAAACCAGATTCGCTGTTTGAAAATATCCATGCTTTAGGGGGCAAAATACTGCCCGTGCTTTCGGAACTCAAAAAATTCCATTCCAAACTTGATTGAACCTTTGGATTGGATAAACAGCTTACACTCTAATTTTGTACCCATCAGGCAAATAGAACATAACACTACTTAGTCAACTTCTGGTCCTTTTCGCTCTGCTTAACGTACAATAAAGACATCACAATTAGTTCCATCAGTTCCATCAACTGAGAGTTGAATTTTTACCTCCATTTTGTACAGCACACTACATTATAAGTCTGGGAGCATGTATGTCTATACATTTTAGGCAGAAACGGGTGTGGGATAGACTTACCTCCACGTGGTGCACCCTGGGCAGCGTATAACCATACGGCAAAAAAATCTATTAACCGGCAGTTGACTTCTCACTTCAAACAACCATCACATCCACTGTATGTCATATTCGACCCCTACCACAGTACTCATCTTACCATTTCTGAGCCTTTGTGTCTGTCTGTTTCTTTTACATCTGTGAATCACTCTTCTATTCCCCTTCCTGAATCCTTCTCACTTTGATGTTCCTCCTCCCCTGCTGTGAAGCCCGATGTCAGCTAATGGGCTGCCATTTGTTATAAATACATTTTAGGCAATATCTAATTTTAAATGAATCCAAGTTCAGTAAGAACGTGAAGAGTTAAACGACTGAGTGCGGATTTCAGGCATTGGCATTTTAATCACAACATCGTTGTCACGGGTTCTCCCAATTTTCTCATCTAAAATTTATTAAAACTTCAGACAATACGGCATGCCACTTTGTGATCAGGTCTTAGTGGAATGATCCACGCCTGTTTCAATCTCCATGGAGGGGCATCGTCATGCGAAGTGAACTTGAAACTGCTTGGTAGAAGCTGAGGGATCGAATGAAGAATTTTAAGCTCAAAGGCGGTGACTCGCTCTGACATAGTTCTCCAAAACCTCCGCCTCATTTTGGAAGGCCTTAAATTCTCACGCCTTAGGCTCTCTTCGGGGATAGGTCAATGTACTTTTGTTTTGATAATAAGTCTTGCACTTTACTCGCAACTTGATTAGTCTCTCACACGTCTCCCTCTTCCACTGCATCAACAACTTGCCACTCGTCGCCAGCATCCTCCCCCCCCCCCCAATTTGCTCCTTCAGACCTAATCCTCCAATCCACCACCCCCTTTGCTCTAGTGGTTCTTGATTCCCCTCAATTAATCCCACTCACTATTTCCTTGTCTCTTCTCCATTTCACTGCATATGAGAGCTCATAACAAGCATCGCGGGCAATCACTTGATAGAGCTTTCCTCAACTCCAACTACAGACCACTCGGTCACATCACTTTTACAAATTGTGTTATTTTTCAACTACTGAGACCAAATCGAGACCGCACATAAATAGATAGCACAGTTCTGGAATTATTCCATGCCAGTGTCAGAGTAGCTAAGTGTCAGTGATTTGTCGAAATTTATTAATGAAGCATATCATATGCATGCCCTCATCAGGATACCACCGAATATTGCTATTCTAATGCCCTCATTAAATTTCCACTCGCCTGCTGGGATTAGGTGCTCTGAAAAACTAGCAGATTGCAACGAAAGCGTAGTTGCGAACACTTGGAAGGGGAGAGGGTGCGCATTGTGAATCGTAGAGGATAAAGAGGGGAGAAATGGATGGGTTTGTGGTGGGAGTCGCTCTGTGGCAACTAAGACTGATCTGCGTGCGAACCGTGATCGCCAAGTCGCTTCCAAATCCTTCACCACATTCTGCCTAATTTCATGTTATCATTCATGGCAACGTGTACGTTCTTTCTGAACTCTCATTAGTACTAATTAGTTTTAAATAAATTGCTGTTTAGGAGAAATCGGTATTGCACAGTCACTCGAAAGCCTCAGTTTGTACTTCTGAACGATAAGGCTTTCACAAAATAAGGCCAATTGTCTGCTCACTCATTGGAGCTTTGAATCTCATGCTCCTGATACCTTCCACGCAACCCGATCAATTTAAATCACGAAAGAACCAAATCAAAGTTGACCTCACTGAGCACAAATTACTAGACGTTCTTTTTAACACAAATAATTGCAATTAAATTAATCCACGCCATGCAATTTAACTTTATTAAAAATTATATGTATTGAATTTGGGGCGTGCGATAGACTTAGCTCCACGTGGTGCACACTGGGCAACGTATACTCATACGGCTAAAAGTCTATCAATCGGCAGTTGACTTCTCACTTCAAACTAAAGTCTATTACCTGGCAGTTGACTTCAAACTACCATGAGTAAGTCTATTAACTGGCAGTTGACTTCTGAGTTCAAACTATCATGACCCCAAGTCTATTAATCGGCAGTTGACTTCTGACTTCAATTACCATGATCTATTAACCGGCAGTTGACTTTAAATTACCATCACCCCAATGTATGACTTATTCGACCACTTCCACAGTACTACATCACATTTTTCAAAATTTTCAATCTTCGTCTTTGAAACACTCTTCTCAGTCCCCTCCTCTCGACTTTTTTTCACTTTGATGTTCCTTCCCCTCTGTGAAGCCTGAAGTCAACTGAGGGCTAATGATAGCTATCAAAACGCCTGCCATTTGAAATAATTAATGATAACTATCAAAACGCCTGCCATTTGAAATAAAAGGACTAATGATAGCTATCAAAACGCCTGCCATTTGAAATAATTAATGATAGCTATCAAAACGCCTGCCATTTGAAATAAATCTATTCACTGATCCAGAAAAACGTCTACCTGGTTATCTGCTGGAATTGACTATAGCTGCTGTTTTTAACTTACTCTCTCCACGTGAGTTATTACTGTTCTCTGTTTCTATCATTCCACAAAGGCGA